ATTTTCATATACATAGATAGGTTAAGTGTTTGTTTATGGTATGGTTAATAAATATTAATATGATTTATTGGGAAGAATCAGACATGGATGTGGATTGATGCATGCCTAAGCAGCTAGTCAAAYCTCATGGAGAAGGAAWTTGAAGTAGAGTGGAATGTAGCAGCCATATTCTAGCAAGAAAGGATGAAGTACCCTGAGGCAACTGCTGCATCATATTCTAGCAATAAATATTATGTATATGTACATGTAAGTATGTTTAGGACTGGAAGGCAACCAGCCCCWAATGAGAAACCTTAAGAGGACAGGAATACACTTGCTGTCCTTCCTTAGCAAGGAGTGATGAGAGTCTTAGACAACCTTTTTGATTCAACAGCTGTATGGTTTAGTTTCTAGGCATACCAGTGAAGTGAGTGTGCATTTTGCGCAAGTATAAATGAATATGGGCCTTATGCAAGGTCCACCCCCTAGGTGGGGGAGCAAGAAGTTATACGCATTAAGGCTTTTAGCACAAAAAAGGTGAAGGCAACTGTCCACAGACCTGTGCAGTCGGTGATTGAGAAGACTGCACTTAATCGAGTAAAAAGCATTTTAGCTTAGCTTAGGCACCCTTTCAGGGTGTATACCATTGTAGGAAAACGATATAGCAGCTTATCTCCCTTCCATTCCATGAAATTTGCTGGGTACAAATATAATCAAAACTCTCCCTTGTAGTAACACTATCACCCTTGAATATGAGAAAATTGAAGCATATTGAGAGGAGTGGGTTCTAGTCCTAAGCTTTAATCAAGGATTACATGTCATTCTTGAGCTTCAATGACTGGTCATGTGGGATATTGTAAGTTTCTATTTACTTCCATGTTGACCCTTTTGTTTGTTTCATTTGGCTATGATTTGGATAAATTAATTTMATTACTGATTACTCAAATTTTAAAGGAGGGTCGTTGTGGTTTATATTGAGCTACGGATTCTGTGTATTATAATCAACTATTTTTATCATACATATATGGACATGGATGAAGTGAATATTTTATAATTGGCTCACTTACGTTGGTGCCAGTGCAAGAAGGAGTGTTGCATCATTGAGTGGCCTTTGCAGCTTCAAGGCAAGATTACTGTTATTCTATAAAGGGAAAATTACACCAAAATGAAACTAACTTTGCCCTAATTTCTAATTTTGGGAACAAACTTTCGAAAATCATCATTATAAGGGTTTGAAGCAAAGTTTACGTTTACTGTTGACTGGTTGAGAGGTAACATGTCACTTTAATATGATGACAAAATATTATTTATCATGCCTCGTCATATTTATTTTACAAAGAATACAAATTAAAAATCAACAAAAATAAATAATGCATGCAGACACCAAACCATCATCTTCTCCTTTTTCCCCTTCTACCCATCTCTGCTGCCCTTTCTTTATTTCCCAGCCACCACTATAACCAACGGTTCAACCCCCACCTTCCCCGATTTTTCCTGCCAGCCTCCCCTCCCCTCCCCTTCTCCTTCCTCCTAGGCGAGTCCAACCCAATAATGGTAGAAGGGAGTACAAGTTAAAAACAGTAGCATGGTGGAGGTGTTTGGGATTTTGTTCGCGTTTTGAGAACTCGGGTCACCACTCACTGATGAAATTGTTTCTGTAGCAAACAAGAAAGGAGAATGGGGATTGAACTTCTCATTCGGGACTGAACGAACACAAATTAAGAAGAGATGATGGTAAACCATATACACAACACATAGAGATGCAACTGTTCAGAAACAGTTTTGGCGGGAATAAGGTAACCGTCAACTACCTTAACGAATATAACAGCCATAGTCTCCTAGGATGATTTAGCTTATAATTTAAAAGAGAACCCAAAATGGGTTTGTGTATGTGCTATGTTTGTAGGAAAGGAAGATGATGGGGGTTTACCGTTTATGCCGGAGATGATGTTAGGGCAGAGATCACGGGACCGGAGACGTGTTTACTGTGCGTGTTATATATATATATATATATATATATTGTATTATATAATAAGTGAATAATATAATTTATAGTGATATATGTATAATATTATATTATGTTAAACATTAAAACACTAGTGTGTTATGCTTAAGAACTTGTACATTCAATTCTTTTTATATTAAAACATAAATAATCAAAATGTCCGTAACTTACGAATTTTCAGTTAATGGTGTTAGAACAAACTACCTGTTTCAGAATCAAATGTGAATTTTTTGTTGTGACATGTCATAATTATTGATGCCATGTGATCATTATGATTTTTTTGCAAATGTAATTATGATGTGGAATCTTACTTGGCAAAATATTGAGCCAGTAATCCTTAGCAGGTTAAAAGGTCAACGAGACCCTTAAATATACACAAACTTTGCTTCAGACCCTTAAATGGTGATTTTTAAAGTTTGTTTCCTAAAATAGAAATCAGTGCAAAGTTGGTTCCATTTTGATGCAATTTTTCCTTCTATAAATATGACATTCCTACAAAATATAGAACAAATACCAAAGGCCTTTGTAAGTGATTGTGCGTGGGGATAAAATAACATTACGTCACTACATGATAGGGTAAAGTTTTTTAAATAGCAACAAAAGGCATTTCTMAGTGATTATGCTCAGATGATAGATGTCAATAAATGTCAAGTTCTGGAAGAACTATATGATCTCACATGTAAGAATGATGATCAATGTTACAACTATTACTATTTCGATGTCATTCATACTTAATTTTGCTGAATATGATTTATTAAGATGTGTCGGCTATTGTTGCTTTCATGACACACTCTCATTTTATGGGCTGTCCCACTGTGCTAATAATTGTTTTTTATATTGATATTTTCTAGTCACTCTTGCATAAATGTATTTATGCCCCTTGTGGAAGTCTAACTAGTTAGAGCTGTTGTTTTGCAGATCTTGCGGTCATCAAGGATGTATTGGAGATTGCTAATGTGTTAAACAGCAAATGGAAGGTAAAACTTCAGAAACATATGTGATCTTGATGTGCCATACGTTGTCATTTCGTATTGCTTTTTTATTGTTCGACTTTTTTGCTCCTGTGTCTTTCTCTTAATGTATGTTCTTCACTGGTGTAATATCATAAGATGCTAGACTGTTGTCTGGAAGAAATTTTGAACACCAAAATATTCTATCAATTCAAGGGATTGTTTGTGGGCTGGGGGACTTGGGCTGTTATGATGGCATCCTGGGATGAGGAATGAACATTTAATTATTTCATTCTGGAAGTTTCTTACAGATGGCAATATGTCTGATGAATTTTGATTTGGCTTGTTTAATCACATAATATCCATAAGTCTATGTTCTTTTAACTCTGACCTTAACTTTTAAAATCAACTAATTTATGAGTATTTCTAATCTTTTGGTGGCAGAGGCAAGGGGAATTGATGTACATAATTACCTATGACATTCTTTTTGGACAGGTACCATGACTTTCTTGGATGTTACATTATCTTTTTCATTTTCTAATTTTTTTCTTTGAAATGGATGTTATACTATCTATTAGTTACTGTGAATAAAAGCAACAAATATTGCAGTAGTCTGTGTGGATATTGTGTGTGTGTGTGTGTCATGCATTAAGTTTGCCTTTGAGATTTGCCATTCATATGCAGACTATTTCTTCAGTTACATGAATCCCTTTTGATGTGAGTTTGAAGGGTTTGCTTGTCCATAACTGGAGATAATATCCATGCACTTAATCCTTAAATGCGTTCCTGCTAACAGCATCTAGTCTCATGCTCTGATTGTAGTCACTTGACCGTCCATCTAAGAAATGCCCATTGGATTGGAATTAACTCATGGGCTGTAGCTTTTAGAACAAAATGAACATGAGTTCCTATCACAGGTTGTTTAGAGCCTTATATTATGTCATTTGGAATATTTATCTCTTTCTATAGCGCCTATAGTCCGTGTATGCTTGTTTTTATGTGTTCTATTTGTAGATTGGCTGGTTGACCTTTTTCAAAATTTATGGTGTATTCTAAACTATTTTTGCTATAAATTAAAGATTATGCAGATCTTTTTGTTTGCTATTGTCTGTAATATTTTTGCAATTGATTGCCATTGTAGTGATTTTAATTTTGTATATTACCTCCTGAATTACAGTGGATACTCTTAGAGTATATAGCCAAATAATTGGCACTTTGGTTGCTGTGTCTTTTCTCTAAATTGATAATCTACATGATTTCAACACTTCATAGGATGCATCTCTAACAGGAGATGCAGAAAAATATCTCATCCTCAGGAAAGGTCCACTACAATCAGCTCTTGCAAAGATTTTAGTAAGGAAGGGAGCAAAAAATGTAGAAGATTTGATGGCTCAATATCAGATTCCTGGTTTGTGGTTTTAAGCTTTTTTTTCCTCCTGCTAATGTTCTATTTACTTGTTTTTGTGCTACTATGTTCRKCACGATATTTATGATTTATGGTTTATGTTGCAGATGTTAAGAAACCTTGCTTTGTCCGTGTTMATACTCTGAAACTGGATGTTGAAACTGCTGTGTGTGAACTAGGCAAAGAGAATGAGGTAGCCTCTTCAACATATGCATATCATTCATGCAACAAAGATGGYTTTTTTTATCCTTGTTATTAGCAATAATGTCTTGGGTCWCTCTATGCAGCAATGAATATGRCTTTCATCATTCTCTTCTCTTCTAGTTAGAGGAGGGATTACCTTGCTGTGATTTAATGCTAATGCTTATGAGCATTATTTGAGGTTTAGGGTTGGTCTGTGTACATCCCACCTCCTTGACCCTGCTTTTGAGTGGGATATACTGTGTGCCTTTGGTTCGGTTATGACCATTATTTGTATGGATCTCAAAGTACAGCATAAAACAAACAAATTATTGCCAAGTGAAACCTTGAACTTTTTTAATTTTGAATATATCATCACAAAGCAATGAATGTGGCTGAGAACATCGTTAAAAGGTGCAAACTATTATACTTCAAATACTTTGATAAGTGAACTCTTTAAGTAAGTGAATCACAGATCCTATTTTCTAGAAATCGGTTGTAGCAAAGCCTATAGAACATTTTTAACCTGTACTTCCTCTTAAACATATTTTTTGCATCATGGGGAATGTCCACTTAATCCTGTCATTCTAAGACTCTTAGCCTGTGAAATGTTAGAACT